CTTAACATGGGGCAAAATTCACTTAACAACTTGGTCTTAAGAGAGGTCTTAACATGGGGCAAAATTCACTTAACAACATATATTTTGGGCTCAACTGTTGTAAGTCGAAGACTACCTGTATTCTTTCATCTCTCAAAGCTCTAGGAATCTATAGTCAGAAATAATAAACAAAGAACAGTGTAAAATAAAAAAGGTGCTTCAGGGCATTCAGAGTCCTTAAGTTCATAAGGAGCTGCAAATGGGTGATAGATTCAATATAATACATTGTGCTTTTGAACCCAAATTAGCACAAAGCCCTATTGTTATAAATAAATCTTTTTCTGCGGGGCAATAGGCACAAATTCCCCAAAATGAAATATGATTTATGATAGAAATGTTTCATTAGCATAAAAGGTAGCACTAGTTCTAAAGTTTTCAACACAAAATTATATTCTGTTGCAAAAATATTAGGTTTCTTATATCAAAGGCATAGTTTTTTTTTTTTTAATCCAGTATGCTTTGGTTAGCTACAGATTTCTTTGGTCCGGCCTCCCCGAATAGCTTGCCAGAATTCCTGACTCAGGAAGCTTGGATACTGACCAGGAAACAATTGCTCAGATTACACTATGGAAACTACAGAAGCCAGCTGTTTGTCAGGCAATAAGCAAATTGCTCCAATTAATTTGCAGCAAGTATTCTGAGTCTGGGCAATAATATCTTTGAAATACTACAAGAACCTTTTGCAAATACTATGGAGGTTTCATTACAAGTGCCAAATGTTTCAGAAAAAATGTTTCAGAAAAAAACTGATTAAATCTAAACTATCCTTTCAACAGCAAACATTCAAAGTTCAGCTTTGGCTAACTATAACCAAAGTTGAAAAGAAAAATATCCATAGATCTTCATCTTCCAAATACAGGATTGCCTGCACAAAAGGAAGAAATTTGTGGAAGCTTCTAAATCCAAATAGGCAGACTTGGGCCTCTGAGCTACCTGTGGCCTTCCCGTCACCATTTTTGTGGCTCCCGAAGCTCTCAGAACAGTGCCATAATGCAAACTGCCAAGTTGTAATATTGCTGCTTTTTTGTTTTCAGAAATGAAACCTTAAAAGAGTTTTGTTAAACTGTAGATCCATCCTTGACCTAATGTCTTGAAACTTAAATGTTTGAAACTGTCTTGAACTACCCTATACACACCACTTGCTCTGATCTCTGTTCTTTTCTGTTGACTTGTTTAAAATGAAACAATAGAGAGCTAAACAAGCAATCTTTTTGATCATGGCAGCTTCATCCATCTCTGAGAGAAAACATGCTTGGCACAAACAGAGTGTTCTTTTTGGAGTCATAACAAACTCTTCTAGTTCCTTGGACTTTCAAAGTGATATTTTTAAAAATTACCTTATAGAGTCATCTTTTATTTGCTAACTATTCTAATTATGTGGCTTATTTGTTTCTTGGAATTTTCATTTTGTTAGTGAATGTGGAACGAGATTTCATGAAGGTATATAAAGGATTTCGGTGAACACACGTTTACTGAAGAAATGTCCTTCTAGATTCAGTTCCAAGTGGAGAAAGACACTGGAAACATAGAAGCTGCTTGGAAAATGGTCGATAGGACCACATGGGTTTTTTGGTCCTGGGCAAAGTAAAAGCACATCGGTGGGAGAGAGAGAGAGATTTATACCCTCTCTTGGGGCCCACCTTGGAGCTTCCGGTTCCTGTGTAAGAAATGTATTCTGATTGGTTGTCAGATTCCCATGGGGCCATGCAGGTGTAACGTTGGTATTGTCTTGAGTCCCAAGCTTGGTTAAACCTTGCTGGGTGATATAATCTCCCCAGGTGCCATATAGTGAGTTCTGTTGCTAGACAGTTAAAGGTCTAATCCTACCTTTGGGAAGGCATTTGCTTATGAAGAGACTTAGCTATCTCTTTATCTCTTAACTGCTAGGATCTGCTGTGGGCTATTGATAAGGTGACCAGACGTCCCGATTTCAGCAGGACAGTCACGATTTCTAACAATTTGTCTCATGTCCCGGGGCGTTTTTAAAAAGTTCTG